CATCATTCCACCTATGAATATTTCTCTATATAAAAGATAAGGACTTTCTCTGTCTCTTCTTTAAGACATAACCACATATCATTATTGTGCTTTAGAAAATTAACAGTAATTCCTTAATTTTATCAAACATTTATAATTGTTTCATTAAAGTCTTTTTTTCTAGATGTTTGAATCATGACTCAAAATCTACATATTATTATTGGTTATGTCTCTTAACTATCATTTAAACTCATTTAAATTGTAAGTTTTAATAAACATTTAAAAATCTAAAAATTAATAAATTGTAAGTTCTCCATCTATATCTTTTATTCTTGTAATAAATTTGTTGAAGAACTTGTGTTACTTGTTTGTGTAGTCTCCCGGTCAGGATTTTGATAATTGCATTTCCATGGTGTCATTTAAAATATTTCTCTATCCCCTGTAAAATGGAATTTGGATACAGAGTCTTGGTCAGATTCAAGTTTAATTTTTTTTTGGCAAGACTACATCATGGAGGAGAAAAAAAATGGCATAGATGATAGAAGCTCTGTTCATCCCTCTTGCAACCAAATCAAAGTTGTGGCAAAAACAAATAGCAAACAGCAAGGGAAGTCACCTGGGATCTAAAGAAACAGAAGCACTACAACTAGGGAGAGAAATAATTAATCACCCTGCAATGGTAGAAGGTAGGAGGGGGTGAAGATAAGACGCTGCCCGGTCGGAGTGGCTGAGTGGGACAGAGGCTGCGACAGTGGCAGCCGGCAGCTGCAGATGCATCTTAAAGGGGCTGTGTGCACGAGCAGACTTTCGCAGTGACAGACCTGCTTGCTCTGAGCACCAGCACAGGGTTGGCTGCTCCAGGAGGACACTGAGTTGTCAGAGTGAAGGCCGGAGGCGAGGCTCACTCTGTACAGAAGTGCCGGCAGTATCCATTGTTTCTCTGTTGAACCCTACCCCCTCTCAGTGTGCAGATGTAGCACCACCATAGCTAAGATGCCATTAAACTATATAACAGAGGTTGCTCTGCCCAGAGGATTCCCTAAAACTCTACCTCCCCCAACTCATGGTCCACACAAGCCACATCCAGGTGTACCCTCTGCCAATCAGGTGCTCCTTGATGAGCAGTGCCAAGACTCACACTAGTAGCAGCTGACTTCGGTTTCTGGTGTGGTCTCTTGAGGCGATTATAAGCACAGCATCTGTGGATTGCTTGCTGAATCTTAACAGGTGGCCTGGAAGGGCACAGGCTGAGGCTAAATTTGGCCTGTAGCTGAACCCCTCTTAAGACTGTGCCACTGGACACACCTATTTCACAAAGCTGTACTAATAAGACCGAAAAACTTAAGAGGTTTGCTTAGTACATAGAAATAGACAAGACAAGTAGCCAAAATGGGAAGACAAAGAAACAGAAACCATACGAGAGAGCAGAACAGAGATCCAAGAATAACGGAGCCAAGCAATCTAATAGATGCAGAGTTCAAACACTGGTTATAAAGATGCTCAATGAACTTAGGGTAAATGTAGATGAATTCAGTGAGAACTTTAACAAAGAAATAAAAAACAAAAATGGAAATGGAAATTATAAAAGGGAACCATTCAGAAATGAAGAACACATTATCTGAGATGAAAAGTATATTAAATGGAATAAACAGAGTAAATAAAGGAGAGGATTGACTGACCAATATAGAAGATGGGGAAGCCAAGGACACTCAATCAGATTGGCAAGATAAAAGAAGCCAAAATTATAATAATATTTTAAGGAGCCTATGGAACACTATTAAATGTAAAAATATCTGTGTCATCGGGGTACCAGAAGGAAAACAGATGTTGAAGAGCTATTTGAAGATGTAATGATGGAAAACTTCCCTAACCTGGTGAAGGAAATAGACATACAACCTCAGGAAGCTCAGAGAGTCCCACAAACCAGGAACCCAAAAAGGCCCACACCAAGACACATCATAATTAAAATGCCAAAGGTTAAATACAGAGAGAATCTTAAAAGCAGCAAAAGAAGAGCAATTAGTTACCTACAAGGGAGCACTCATAAGACTTGCAGCTGATTTCTCAAAAGAAAGTATGCAGGACAGAAAGACTTGGCTCAAAATATTTGATGTGATGAAAACCTAGGATCTATAATCAAGAATACTTTGTCCAGCAAGGTATCATTTAGAGTTGAAGGACAGTTAAAGAGCTTCCCAGACAAAAATAAGCTAAGGGAATTTATCAACACCAAGCCATTATTACAGGAAATGTTGGAGGGACTTCTTTAAGAAGAAAAAAAATATGTATCAAAAACAAGAATAAAGAATGGTTATAACTACATTCCTATCAACAAGTACCTCAAATGGAAAATAATTAAGTGCTCCAACCAAAAGGTAGAGTGGCTGAATGGATAAATGAAGAGCTATTCCATGTTCATTCTGTGTATCTTTTATTTCCTTTACTTGTCCTATTGCATTAGCTAGAAATTACAGTATGTGTTGAATAGGAGTGGTGAGAGGGGATATCTTGTTCCTTATTCTTGATCTTAGGGGGAAAGCACATAGTTTCTGACCATTGTGATATTGGCTGTTTTTGTACATGTTATCAAGTTGAATTAGTTCCACTCTAGTCTTAGTTTGCTGAGTATTTTTTTATCATGGGTTTTGTCAAATGCTTTTTCTATATCTGATTTTTCTTTAGCCTGTCGACGTGATGGATTACATAAACTGATTTTCAAAAGTCGAACCAGTCTTGCATACCTAGAGTAAATTTTATTTGGTCGTGGTAATTTTTTTATATATACTGTTGGATTCAATTTGATAATATTTTGTTGAGGATTTTGGCATACATTTCCAAGAGAGATATTAGTCTGTAGTTTTACGTTCTTGTAATGGCTTTGTCTGATTTTGGTGTTAGGGTAATGCTGGCCTCATAGAATCAGTTAGGAAGTATTCCTTCTGTTTCTATTTTCTGGTAGAGATCGTAGAGAATTGGCATAATTTCTTCCTTAAATGTTTTGTAGAATTCACCAGTGAAACCATCTGTGTCCAGTGTTGTTTTGGAACGTCATTAATTAATCATAGTTTCTTTAATACTGATTATTTTTAATTACTTTAATTAATTCAGATTATTTTTCCAACATGTGAATTTTCGTAGATTGTGTCTCTATATAATTGGTTCACTTCATCTATGTTATTAAATTTATGGGATTAATAGAAGAAAACATAGGAACTAAACTCAAGACCTTGAGCTTAAAGCGGATTTTATGAATTTGACCTCAAAGGCAAGGGAAGATCAAAAATAAATGAATGGGACTACATCAAACTAAAAAGCTTCTGCTCAGCAAAAGAAACCATCAACAAGGTAAAGAGACAACCATCCAAATGGGAACATATATTTGCTAGCAACCTCCAATAAGGGCCCAATATCCAAAATATACAAAGAACTCATACGACTCAATAACAACAACAACAACAACAAAAAAGATCCAATCAAAAAACGGGCAGAGGACCTGAACAGACACTTCTCCCTGGAGGATATACAAATGGCCAACAAATACATGAAAAGATGCTCAACATTGCTAGCTATTAGGGAAATGCAAATCGAAACCACAATGAGATACCATCTCACACCTGCTAGAATGGCTATAATCAACAGGATAAGTAATAACAAATGTTGGAGAGGATGTGGAGAAATAGGAACCGCCCTACATTGCTGGTGGGACTGCGAATTGGTATGGCCACTATGGAAAGCAGTATGGAGGTTCCTCAAAAAACTAAGAATTGAACTACCATATGATCCAGCAATTCCTCTACTGGATATTTACCCCAAAGACTTGAAAACTTATATTCAAAAAGATATTTGCACACCAATGTTCATAGCAGCATTATTCACAGTGGCCAGGACATGGAAGCAACTGAAGTGTCCTACAACAGATGATTGGCTAAAGAAGTTGTGGTACATATATACGATGGAATATTACTCAAGCATAAGAAGAAATGAAATACTACCATTTGCATCAACATGGATGGACCTTGCAATAATCATACTAAGCGAAATAAGCCAAACAGAAAAGGATGAAAATCACATGATATCACATGTGGGCTATAAATCTAAAAGCAACAAATGAACAAGACAAACAAACAGGGACTCACGGACATGGACAATGGACTAGTGGTTACCAGAAGGGAGTGGGGAGGAAGGAGGGGGAAAATAAATAAAGTGTTAAAAAAAATTATATATAGTATGAAAAAAATAAACTGGCATTTAAAAAAATTTATGGGCATAGAGTTGTTCATAATATTCTTTTATTATCCTTGTAATGTCCATAGGATTTATAGTGATGGCCCATTTTTCATTTCTGATAGTAGTAATTTGTGCCTTCTCTCTTTTGTTGGTTAGCCCGGCTAGGAGTTTATCAATTATATTGCTCTTTTCAAAGAATCAGCTTTTCATTTTGATTTTCTCTATTGATTCCATTTTAAATTTCATTGACTTCTATTTTAATTTTTATTATCTTTTGTTTACTTGGGATTTTTCCCTTCTATTGTAAATCTTAAAGTAGAAACTTAGACTATTGATTTTAGATCTTCTTTTCTAATAAATGCATCCAATGCTATAAATTTCCCTCTAAGCATTGCTTTCACTGTATCCCACAACTTTTGACAAGTTGTACTTCCATTTTAATTTCATTCAAAATATTTTAAAAATTTTCAAGACTTATTTGACCCATATTATTTAGAAGTGTGTTGTTAAATTTCCAAATATTTTGGGATTTTTCAGCTTTCTGTTATTAGTTTTTAATTTCATTGTGATGAGAGCATACTTTGATTTCTACTTGTAAATTTGCTAAAGTATGTTTCATGGCCCAGGTGTGGTCTGTCTTTGTGATATCTCATGTGAGCTTGAGAAGAATGTGTATTTCTCTGTTTGCTGGGTGTAATATCCTATAAATGGTCAGTGAAGTGTTGGATTTGAATGTGAAACTGGAGTGGGCTCAAGAGAGAAAGGAAAGAGAAGACAAGACTCACACTGCCAACTAAGATTAATGAAAAACATTGTTTTTATTAGCTTTATATTCCATCGTATTTGTTCAATAATTTAGGTTGTTTCTAATTTTTCAGTATTATAATGTGATATTTTCCCTTGATACATAGAAAAGTTTTGAGTCAAGGAATAATAATCTTTTAACATTCTTGTCACAGTGGATGGATGCCACTATCATTCCTCTTTTGCCATGCCATTCACACACACACACACACACACACACACCCTGCTTATTTAACACACCTAAAATGACATCTTGTTCTTTTAATTTATAATTCTTAGATTACTAGTAAGGTTGAACATTCTTTCATTTCTTTTAGCCACATCCCTTTGCTGTCCCCATCCTCCCCCATCTCATCCTTTTGTTGCTTAAATGCCACTTCCCGAGTCCTCTCTGGAAAATCCACCTGTAATACTCTCCTAAATCTTTTACCATCCTAGCACTTGTCACACCGTGTAGCTACATACATATTTTTCACCTTTACTGAATTTCTGCCCCACCCACCAAAAAAAAAAAAAAAAACCCTTTTATTGGTGTGTTGTTCCCCTTTACAACCCAAGATCCCAGGTACATTTTTAGGGGATGCATGCTTTCCATTTGTAATTACTATTGGAATTGGATCTTTGGTCCTCCATATTTTCTAACTAGCCACTGGCACTTGTTGCTCTACTGAAAAACCACTTATTGATGTGTTTACTTTTTTCCATTAATTTGTTGTTGGACTCTTTATTGAACACTTAGCCATTGTCTAACAGCTTTCTGGTGCTATTGTGTTTGAGGGTGGGTGACCCTGGGTATCCTGGCCCTGTGCTCCTGGGCAGGGGTGAAGGGCACTTCCCTCCAGCCCCTCCTGGGTTTGTGGGGACAGGCATGGGGAAGTCAGGCCTGTCCAGGCTCCACCTTTCTGGAACAACAGGCACCCATGAACTTGACTACACAGGCCCTTCCCCACACAGAAGCCAGGGACATGGAGGACACCTCTCAGGTATGGGGAAATTTGGGTTGTGGGAGCATCACCCACCTACATGACTTGGAGACCATGTCATGTGGCCCTACCATTGGGCAGGGGCCAAGACCATCTCATACTGGGGCCACACTGGGGACCTCACCTTCTCTGGTACTGCCTGGCAGCCACTCAGCCTTTGTTTTGGAGGTGTGCAGGCCGGTTCTCTGTGCAATAACTTGGTGGACCCCGCCCAGACTTCTGGAGGAATAAAAGAATTATGTTGGCAGCCAGTTTTGTCCCTGGTTTTAAAGAATATTGTAGGCTTGAAATACAAAGTTTAAAAAGGACAGTTTTTTTTGTGGTCTTTTAGTGCTGGTTTTTGTTGTTTTTAAATCAGAATTCAGGACTGCACTGTATCATAAAATGTTTTGTACCAAAATGAAGCTTAGAGCTATATGTTTAAAAAATAACAAAAAAGAGAGCAATAGGCAGAAAACTATTTTGTAGATGGTATAATTAACCACAAATTATAACAGAACTGAGAAATTATTGAAAATTAAGAACATTCAGTGAGGTCGCTAGTTTCACAAATATATAATTAAAAATAACTTTTGTATGTAAGAACAATAACTAGAAAAATATAATGAAAAAATCTATTTACAATAACAAAATTGTGTAGAACTTATGTGAAAATTAGAAATATTTACTAAGTAATACTCAAATAAATGAAGAGTCATGTTTCTGGATGGGAAACAAAATTTGTAAAGTTAATTTCCTCACGTAGTTTATAGGATTATTCCAATTAAACACCAATGTAAAAATCTGGGACACCCAAAAAGAGCAAAACTGCTCAAGAATCCCTAAAATCACTTACCACAGGAGTGGGCCTATGAAGGCACCGCTGGCCTTGCCTCTGGGCAGACAAGTCAGGGAAGCCTGGATATTGGGAGGCCAAAGAGAACAAATATTTGCTATGATGAAGACACTGGAATCCTGTTTCTTGAGGGGCAATGTGAGCTAGCCACTGGAGACATGATTTCTAAAAACACTCTGCTTGTGAGGTAGTGACCACCCACTGCCAAAGGTCTGATAACTGCTTAGAAGGGAATTAAGCATATGGTTAAGTTACTGAGCAGCCACAGATCCAAGCCAATATCTCCCTCCTCCTTTTCAGGATATTGGCATTTCCTCCCTAGGAAGTTTTCTTCTTGGCTCAGCAGAGGGACAAGATTCTGAAGAGTTTTTCCGTAGTAGGGATGGGTGGCCGGGCCTGAGCAATCTAAACTTCTTTTGTGGTATGGAAAAGGCAAGAGAGGGCTTTTGAGCAATTACTAGCTGAACAAGAAATAGTAAGAACAGCAGACATTTAAAAATTACGTTGTGAAAAGGATTTTTGTAAGTCACTTTTCACTGTAAATTGCAAATGTTACTGAAATTGATCATTAGTTTAAATCACATACAAATGTCAGAGTAAGCCTTTGATATTCAATTGCTGTATATTTGCCTATATTCCAAAGTAAATAATCCCTCTCAACACTCAAGTTTTAACAGGGTGTTCTTAAAGGGTTATACAAATTGCTTGATAACAGCTGTTGGTTTAACAAATCAGTAGTTTGGTTCTTTTAGGGGAACACTAGTCCAGAAAACCTTTGCATTATTTCTCTTTTTTCATGTGTGAATTCATATGTGTGGTGGGGGGGCTGGGAATGGATATACTTTCAGTACACAAGAATCACTCTGTTCACCTTGCAGGTAAGCAGCCTCCAGACTCGTATTCAAAGCCTTTCTCTGGAAAGAGATATATGACCTATACATTGTTGTAAGTTCACAAAAGAAAGCTCCTTAGTCCAAAAAGCCTGGATGCTAACTGAGGTATAGCCCTTGACGATGTTTTCTTCCCTGCGATTTTTTTAAAAATTTGAGGTTTCAGCCAAGCTGGGTATTTATCCAATTTTGGCTACTATGAGGTTTTCACATATCTCTATCTTTTCAGACAGCCTAGGAATTCAGAATTCCTTATGAAACATTTCAGGTTGAGGCAGGACCATCAGATCTTTCCCGATCCCACTTCTGCTTTCGGGTTTTACATGCCAAATGGGTTTTCTCGTGCCGGGTACAGTTTGACAACCGACCGAATCTTCTCCCACATTTTTTGCAGCCGTATGGCCTCTCAGCCACATGACTCTGCAGATGAAGCACAAATTCTTTGTTCTCTGGGAAGGTTTTCCCACATTCTGGACATTTGAATATCTTCTTCCTTATATGGATTCCTTCATGGCGACTCCGATGAGAGTTTTGACGGAAATTTTTTCCACACTGAGAACATGAATAAGGTTTCTCTCCTGTATGGATTCGCTCATGTTTATTAAGGTTTGTTTTATGATTGAAGCTTTTCCCACAGTGACTACAGTCATAGGGTTTTTCTCCAGTGTGGGTCCTCTGGTGGGAAATAAGGTAAGAACTTTCATTAAACTGTTTCCCACACAGTGGACAAGTGTACCATCTTCTTGTTCTCCGATTTCGGGTAAGTGCAACAACATTGATATCCACATATTTTGAGAGTTCCTCTAGTGGAGTATCATTTTCAATGGTAATTAAAAGATTTCTCATTTTCTTTTCCTTTGGATTGGATGTATTCAGTCTTTTTTCTTTATGGCAATCTGGAGGTTGCTTGGAGACCATGAAACAATCCATTTCATCACATTCTGAAGACTTTTCTCTATTATCTTCATCCTCAAGATTACTGTCATTGACTTTGAAACAAAGAGAGAATTTAATAATTTTTGAGAAAGATGACACCAGGTGGGGAAAAAACAAGTCTGATTTCTCATGCAGTAATAACCTTGCAAGTCACAAATCTGAGGACTGGCATACAATTGCCATCAACATTCCTTTCCTACTTTTACTGAGGGTGGGATACATGACTGATAAATCTTTCCATACCCCATGATGCAAGCACAGTTTCTTTTCACTTAAAAAAAAAAAAAAAAAAAGGAAAGAAATGAGTGGGACTATACTGAAAGACTTCATATGTTTGTTTTCTGAAGAGGCACCAATTACTCACTCAACAAGATCATACTGACCTTATATACTATGTAGAACAGGGGTCCCCAATACCTGGGACACAGACCAGTACTGGTCCATGGCCTGTTAGGAGCTGGGCCGCACAGCAGGTGAGTGACGAGTGAGTTAAGCTTCATCTGTATTTGCAGTCACTCCCCAGTGCTATATCACCACCTCAGTTCCACCTCAGATCATCAGGCATTAGACTCTCATAGAAGCACTGGTCTCTGGTGCCAAAAAGGTTGGAGACCACTGAGTAGAGCACTGAGCTAAGTACCAGGAGATAAAGGACATAAATACTAAAGGGTACTACTCATAATCCTTAGGAGGCTGGTAAGTGAATGGTAAGATGAGTTACTTCCAGGTTCTCATTACATTAAATATTACAGAATCATAGTAAAAGAAAATATTATAGTATCCTATATAGTGAAAGACTAAGCAATTAAAATGACAAAAAATAGAGAAAGTATAGCATAGTCACACAATGGATTGTTATTTGGGCATTAAAGTGATTACTATAACTGATAAAACTACGATAGAGGTCAATAGTGGTCTTTTGCGGGGAGGAAGGAAAGTAGTGACTCGGAGGGGGCACAAAATTTCTGAAGTGCTAGGAACAGTCAATTTGGGGTGGTGTTTAGACAAATGTGTACATTTTGTGAAAATGTGAGCTGTACACTTATGATTTGTACTTTTCTGTATTTATATTATGCTTCCAAAAATTCTGTGTAATTAACATTATAAAAACTAGGTAACAAGTCTTCCTCTATAATAGTTCAACTTAAAACCAGAAAAAAAAATATCAGTCTTTCAAAATCTGATCAATTTCAATTCTGTTTTCTGGCCATTTTCTTATGACTTCTTTTACAGTTAACTCTAATATATCTGGAGTTTAAAATCACAGTTTGTTATGTTTATAACAAGTCTAATATTGGTAAAGCCAGCCAGAATATCCACTTCTACCTTTTTAAAAAACTTGGTTTTAGTTTTCTCATTTAAACTGGTGTCTAATATTTAACAATAAAACATTTCTACTTTACTCCTATTTTATAGCCATTCTGAATGAGAGCTTTCATTGTTTTACTTAAGAATGCTATGATAGTTACATATTTATTTTTATCTACCTATTTTAAAACTATTGAATATAATAATGTTTTAGTCAATCCTTTTAGATTTTCTAAGTACAGATCAGGGTTTGTACTAAGTACAAAAAGGGTTCCCTCACTTTCCAATATTTATTCTTTATAACCATTTTTGCTTCCAAAGGGCTAAATATGTTTTGAGGACATTTCATTGAAATTCATATGGTTTTTCTTATTTTCCTGAAAGTGTCAATGAATATATTTTACATTCCTTTAATGTACTAATTTTTAAAATTGAAAAATGAAAAGGTATACAATGAGGAAGTCTTACTCCAGTCCCTACCCCATCCTTTCTATCGATCCCCCAGGCAGGTTTTATTAATTTCTTTTTAGTCTTCCATTGTTTCTTTAGGCAATACATTTTTTTCTCTTCCTTTCTTATATAAGATACATACTATATATATTTCTGCTTCTTGTTTTATTTCAGTCGTTACATTCCAGTGAATAGAGATTATCACAGTATGATGTATGCACATACCATCTTCAACTCTGCAGAAATATCTGGATTGTTTTCAACCTTGTGTTTTCACAATACACAGTGAATAACCTTCTCTGAACATTATTTTCAGTGTGTGCTGTTGCTATTATCTGTAGGTCAGAGTCCCAGAAGTGGAACTGCTGGATCAAAGGACTAATGCATCTGTAATATGGGTACTTACAGATTCCCATACATAGGGACTGTACTTTTCTGCACGCTCACTAGCAATATAGCTCCCAACAACCTTACCACCAATGTGTTGTTATGTTTCTGATCTGTAAATCTCAGATTTAAAAAAAAAAGGTAACTCGGTAGGGGTTTAATTTGTATTCCTAATTATGAGTACGGCTGGTCATATTTTCATGTGTTTAAGGGTAATTTATTTCTAAGAGAATCTGTTGGACTTTCTCTTCTTTATTTCTAGAAACTCTTTATATGATATGAATTATAACTACTTCCTCCAATTTATTGCATTTTATTTGTGTATATATTTGTTTTAATTTTTTTACTATAATGACTTTATTTTATTGAGCTTTTCTTTTTGAGCTTTAATTAGAAAAGCCTTCCTAACCCATGGTTATTAAGGAATTCACCTATATTCTTTAACTCTGCTTTTTTGGTATTAAAAAAAATTTGTTTTTAACTTATGACCCATCCATTTTTCTTGGTGTGCAAAGTAAAGTATGATTCACCAAATGGCTACTGAGTTGTGCTCTAATACCTTTTATCAAAAAGTTCCTTCTTACTTTGCTGAATGGAGATTCCAACTTTTTCATAAACTAAATCCCCAGTGTATTTGAGGCTATTTCTGAACTTCTTATTCCATCCCATTGGTCTGTTTACTCACATGCCAATATCACACTATTTTCATGACACAGGCTTTGGATTAGAGGCTGCTTTAACACCTGATAGTACTAGAACCCCTCCTGCCCCACTGCTCTTCTTTTCAACTTTCCTGGTTACTTGTATTTATTTTTCCATTTGAATTTGTTATCAGATTGTCTAGTTCCAGGGGAAAAAAACCTATTGGCATTGTTACAGGAATTACATTGAATTGATGAACCAACTTGGGAAGAACAGATCTTTTTATGTTAAATTCTCCTAGCCAAGAACAAAGTACTTCTTTCCATTCATTCGAGTCTACTGTGTCTTTTAGAAATATTTTAAAGTTTTCCTCATAATTTTTGCACATTTCTTAAGTTTATTTCTAGATGTTTAATCTTTTTTGTTCCTATTTTATATTGTGTTTACATATATGAAAGCTAATGATTTCCATGTACTATAATAATTTCACAACCTATTGCCATACTGAATGTTGTTATTTTTTGTAATGAGTTTTCAGACATTGTCTAGGGTTTTCCAGCTACATAATTTTATGTAAATAGCTGTAGTTTTCTCTCATCACTTCTTATACATCTAATTTCTTTCTCATTTAACTGCACTGGCTAATACTGAAATACAATATTAAATACAGCAGTAGTGATTGATAGTGGGCTTCATTGCTATATTCCTAATTTTAGTGGGAATGCCTCCCAGTACTTCCCATGGTGATGATGCTGGCTGAAAAGATATTTAAATATCCCATTAAGGAAATATCTAGTAAGTACTATTTTGTTAAGTGTTCTTATGAAAAAGGGGATTGTATTTTGTCAAATACCTTTTCAATAACTATGAAAATGATCATACGATTTTTCTCCTTTTTATTATAAGATGGATTATATTAATAGACTTTCTAGTATTAAATCATTTTTGCATTCCTGGAATAAACTTTATTTGGTCATGGCACTTTTTATCAGGCTGTGGTATCCTTGTTACATTAATTTCATACAATGAATTTGGAATTTTTCTTTTTCTATACTCTGGATTTTTTCATAGCATTTGAACTGTCTAGTTTTTAAAAATTCACAAGAATTTTCTGTGAAACTGAGGCTTGTTCTTTTTCTTGAGTTGGGGGCCAGTTTTTGACAATTTCAATTTCCTTGGTGGAAATTGGTTTATCTGTTTTTAAATCTATTAGTTCCTCCATTTTTTAACTTACTGATTTCTAATTTAACATTTATCAATACTTTGTTTTTCTTTATCTTGTTGTTTTCCTAACTTTGAGTCAGAGGCTTACTTACGTTTTTCTAAGTTAACATACATGTTTTTACAGCTATGAATTTTCTTCTGAGTACCACTTTAGGTTATACCATAGATTCAGATACATAGTGTTTTCTATAAAAGTTATGTAATTTTAATTTGTATTTCCCCTTTGACCCAAGGTTACTTAATAGTTTTTAAAATTTTTAGGTGGAACTTTTTTTTTCCAATTTCATGAATTTCTAGTTGTATTGTGATAGATCTTATTGTGTTACTTTTACTCTTTGCAATCTATTGAAGCTTTTTGTTGCAGAGTATGTAGTCAATATGTAACACTCTTGTGAAGGTATATTCTTTTACCACAGTACAGGGTAAATATAACCATAAGAACTAACTCACTGAGAGTTTAAGTGTTCTACATTTCCAATTATTTTCATGTAGTTCACCTGACTACATAAGGACACACAGTCTGTTCTCCTCTCTCAAGGGCTCTTTGATTCCTGTCCCTGCAAAGTTTATTCCCTTACACTTTTCCCTTTGCAAACTGACCAAATGTTATTATTTCAACTATTAGCTATATGCTGATGACTCTCAAACTCCTACATCCTTACATCTGACCTCCAATCCCAATGTCCAAGTGCTCAGAGGAAAATCTGATTTTATTTCCTGCTATGGAAAGAAAATCCATCTTCTTCTAAACTCTGCTCCTGGGTCCAAATCCTGCCTTGACCTCATCATACTTCTTTATAATTATAATGGGTTCACACTGTTTATTTTTTTATATGAATAACTCATCTTATAAAACAAATTGGAAACTCTTGGAGGGCAGGAATGGGGCAATATGTGTCTTTTTAATCAACTCCATAACCCAACTCTTCCTGAGGAAAAACAAGTGACATTTACTAAATGTTAGTGAATGCTTCTAAGCTTTTCTTTTTTTAAAATCACACATTTATCTTTGCCGTTTATTAATTAATTCCAAGCTTAAATCATCAGCTTCAGGGTATGCATGAGGAAGGCAGAGGGGGAGGGGAGCATTGGATCTCAGATTCATGGCCAAATTGTTCCTGGAGCTGGCAACACACCCACCAACCAGTCACCCAAAATAAACATTAGCTTTGCCCAAACTCATGAAAAACTCAGTGTAATAAATCTTATCTGTTTATACTTTTCCCTAAAATACAGAAAATATAACAGAATAATCTGTGGGAAATTAACCAGGCCTATTATGGATCACTATCCTCACCATACAGTTTAAGACAACTATTGTACAATAGTCATTATGGATTTTTGTCACCCCAGACAACTCACAAAATCCACTCTCTGGTCAACTTCAGCCTCAGAAGCAAAGAGCAGTGAAGTGAAAGTAAAAAGTATTAGGTACACAGCAAAACAATTTTTGAGGGCTCCTGACTCTAGGGTAACATTGTACTTCTAGAGAAGAGCTGAAACATCTCTAGGCAGCTTATGGAGAATCTTATGCCACATAAATTCATATGTAACACCGAGGATACTTATTATCCATTTCTGGGAAATGAGTACAAATGAAGGAGGCCCCATTCACTTACCATATAGGAAACTAATTGACAAAGTTATGAAAATTCAGCAAGGAAGGCAGTATAGCTCTAGGCCAAGACTACAAGCTCTGATGTTAGATTCCCAGAGTCCAAATCCCTGTTCCACTACTTACTGCTGTGTGACCTTTAGCAAGTGTTTTAACTTTTCTCTGCTTCATTTCTATCATCTATAACATAACTCCTATACCCCACAGTACTAATAAATGCATGCAAAGTACTAAAGTACAAAGACTAATGCCTAGCACATAATGCCTAGCACATAATGGCACACAAATGCTTAATAAGTACTAGATATTATTTTCATTAACAGTGGAATAGATTTTCACTTACAGTAGTAGTCCTCAAAGCTTGAACATCAAGAAAATAAAAAGACTTAAAAGAGTTTGCTACGAGTCCAATGAAAACACTAATTTAAAATATAACTGTTGGGAAAATAGCTCTGGATCTGGAAAATGGATACAGAAACAATGTGCCTGCATTTTCTATCTGAATGTTTGATGGTAGTATACCAGTGGTAGCTCTTGCTTACCAAGATAAGTCTCTTTAGCCCTTGCTGTCCCCAAGATACAGGGAAAATGGCCACCCAGTTGGAGCAGGCTCTGCCACATGGGAAAAATTAAACATATGTGTGAACATGTGCTTAGGTGGTGTGAGTGGTGTCTTGAAAAAGTCTGAGATGAAGTAAAACATGCTTTCCCTGTAGCATTCAATCTGAACACAGAAGGGACTTGATTTCTTACCCAGTAACATCATCTCCCCAACACTCTCTTCTTCCTTCTCTGAGGTGGGCTGTTGAGTAGGATTCAGGCTCACACATTCTTCTTGGGAGTGAAATACATTTAAATCCTCAAAGACCACCAGCTCCTGAAAGAGCAACAGGCACCTTTCTTCTTAGTAACAGAGGTTCCTTGACATCCCTGGTGATAAGACTGAGACCCGAAGATGAGGGAAAGGACAGTGAAAGAGATCTGTAAGTCCCACACAGATGCAGCCAGACAGGAAAGCCAAGCTCACAGGGAAGCTAAAGGAAAAGCAGAAGAAAAATATCTAAGGAGGCAGTGAAGGACATGCCTATTCTCTTTGCTGACTCCCAGGAATGTGTTTTTATATAGCTTAGTTGAGCAGGGAGGACAGCAAGAGCAGAGAAGGTGATGCACTCAAACAGTGAATAGGAAAACCAAACCTACCTCGGGCTTAGCTTTCAAGCACATAGACACTGTCTCTTGTTTCTGCTGAATTCCTTCTCTGGTCAGAAGCTTCACTAAGGGACGATGTTGCACTGGAGAAAGAGGAAGCTGTAGTTAATGGAAAAGTCAGTGACTCTACTATGGAGACTCTATCCACATCCTGAGGCCAGGCTGTCCTTACTCCTTTAGCAGGCAACTCATGGCCTTTTCTGCTCCTATAAGCCCAGTCAAGCTGTTAAACACAGGGTCTTGAACCTATATGGGGTCTCATTATGAAAAGAATGATTCCCCTAAGTACCTTTTAAAATTCCCATTACTAGTAATGGGAAAGTTGGCGGAAGGTAAAGTTTAAGGTGCCCACAACAAGCACAGAATTTCCAAAATTCTACATAAACTGAAATCAATTCAAGAATCCTATCCATCTATTTATCCTAAAAAGATATCTCCTACCCCCACAACCTGAATGTTTGTAGAAACCTGATACTACAGAAGATACACAGTTTACACTCCCAGCAAACCATTCAAGCTCCAGTTTGAAAAAAGATACCTCCTTGCCCCAATATGTTTACTTATTACAATCGACTCCTTTTCTCAATACTCACCATCCTAACTGGAATTTACTACTAGCACAGAAACCTATCTTACTCAGCTCCACCAATACCATCCCTTCTCTTCTAGTGAAACAGAAGACTGTTCTTACCTCTGTTCTGAAAGTTTGAGCTCACATCCTTCATGATAACCAAGGTCTCCTTGACTTTCTCACTGGGCTGGGCCAGGCCTGGCTTGGGCAAGAAGGTGAGGAAGTGCTCCAGAACCAGCTGGTGGATGGTCTTGGGCCCACCAGTAGCATCTCGAAGTAGGTCTTGGCCCAGCTTGGAGTTTGGAGGAACTCTCAGTATAAAGGACTGTTTTGGCTTCGGGGGCATAGGAAACACTTTTGCAGCCATAGTATCTTGAAATCACACACCACACTTGTTTCTGCAGAGCTTCGAAACCCAACTCTTACTAAAGGAAATCTGTTGGAAAGCTGGAGATGACAGAAATCATGGGTTACCCACAAGATTGGGCAGGGCATGCTTACAGTCCAATATAGGGCTTGAGTAGTGAGACCACATGAGAGCTAAGTCAGAAAGGAAGACAAGTTGGGGTAGGGAACTCATAACTGAAACGCACGGTCCTTGAATGGGATACTTTTAACAAAGTCTGAAAGAAAGATCCTGAGAATAAAGCCAGAGGATGTTCAAACCTCAAGGGCTGAATGAAAGGAAGTAAAGGCAAGCGGAAGAAGACCAAGGGCCATCCTCCAGGGAAATACAAAGCGCAAACTCGACTGGGAAGAGCTGTTTAAACTCATGCCGATAGAAAGAGCAATGAGCTCGAAGCTAGGAAATCGGGGGCCCAATATGCTTAGAAGTCAGTTAGCTTGGCCACTGGATCTGACCGAAGGTTCCTCGGATGCCGTTTGGGGGAAGGGGGCAGTTGATGTCTCAAGTAGCAAACGCAAGGGCCCATGAGGTGTCCACATGTGGCCTGTTGACTCCTTAACGCTGAGAAAGCACTGCTGAAGGCAACAGGGGACATCCCAAGAGGGGCCACCGAGCCTGGCACACTGTAGAAGCTCCCCCATCGGTCAAGGGCCACCTTTACCGCAAAGCCCAGCAGGGGCATTGCCTGGGGCGCGTTCCCGGCTCCCTATCACGCCAAGCTCCTCCATCAAAGGACCACGCTCCGATCCCCAGAGGCTGTCTCAGCCTGGTCCCTGCATTCGCGGAGCACCTTACCTGTTGGAGGTTCTGCGGCACCTGGGCGCTCAATGAGGGCGGCCCAGAGATTTAAGCTCAGGGACAGATCGGGAAACTAGGAGCAAGAGGCCGAACCCTCCCCTCGCCCTTCCGAATGTCCTCACAGGTCGCGGACGACTATTGGTGTGGGCCACCGTCAGTTGGGGAGCACAACCGGGACGCAGTGCTTTCTGGGAGGCTGGGTACCTCAGCACCTGTGACGTAACGCCCGGTGCCTGGTTTCCGGTGCGATAGCCTGGTCTCCCCGCTCGGAGCCAGCAATCTGCCTTTGAGAAGGCGAAGCTGGAGGCCAGCTGGCAGAGCTTTCAGCGCCGGGGGGAAGGCCAGGCTGGAGGCAGTCATTTTCTCTGTGGCTCTACTGAGAAGACGGAAAACAGAAGGATGGCTCCATCCTCCCATGACGGGCTGGTAACACTCCAGGTACGCGCTAACTCTAGGGGCTCCTGGGAAATGTAGTTCGGCTCGAAACATCCAATGGGACGCCGCCCGGCGCGGCGGCTGGGGCGGGGCAGGTCAGGGCCTCGACCGGAAGCGGGTTGCCTCTGAGACCGGAAGGTCT